CTGATTGCATTGATATTCCTTGTACTGAATATTGTTCTTCTCGTTTTATATCATCATCTAGTAAATTATGTGCATCACATTTCATCAAGAGTCAATAGTAATTACAAGTTAAGGATGCGTGGAAATTTTACAATGGTTCGCCGCATCGTATTACTCAACTCTCAATTCTTTGTTGTTGGCATTCCAGTGATGAGTTTTATGATAGTGAACTTAATTCGTCCCGATCTTTTACCTCCTTATTGTATACGAGTCTTGGTGATGATGGAAAATGCATCATTTGCTTTTTTACTTATTGTTCTTTGCTGGATCACACCAAATCTTCGACGAAGTATTGCCAAGTGTTTCAATTTAGCCCTTGGTTTTCGAATAAACAATCCCAATCAGATCAGACCAATCATAGAAGCTCATCGCTTTTAAACTTTTATTGTCTTATGGTTTTGTTCAAAAAAAAATATACATCGAACCGAGTATTTTAATCGAACTTGTGAGTATGTTCATTTCATATATCAATGGCAAGTACATGAGATGAAGTAATCAAAAACGAACTGTCTCCAGTCATGGATTAGATGATAAAGCAGATGGGTCGATGTTCGGTTCAAGAAACACATACAAACGACATCGACGAACATGAATGCGTATATGAAATAATTATCAACATGTCAACTAGGAAATAAAAATTTGATACAAAGTTATATGCCACCACCAACTTGAAAATCACTTTTCATAAGTTGACAGTGATTCATCATCATGGATGTGGCCGAAGCGACGACCGATACTCACTTTCTTAAGAAAAAATCACTTTCAATGTCATGGGAGACATGTAGAGATGAATCCCTTCTCAATTTTCTAGAATTGTTGTTATTGATTAATATTGATGTCTATAGGAAGACAAAGAAGTCTTCATTCTCTCACAGATCATGATAATATTCTTCCGATATATTTGTCCATTAGCTCTGGTACACACGATGATCCATATAACAAAAATTTTTATTGATGACGAAAGTAAATCTATCGTGTCACACATATGAATTTCGTCAGACTATTATTGAAACTTTTCTGTTTCTTTTTTGTTCAGGATAGTAAACTTTCTATTTTCGTCGATCAAATGATTTCATCGTGTTAAAATTAGTTTTTTTCTTCATTTTTCGTTTCACATTTCTTTTGATCAATTATCAAAATCAGCAGGCTTAAAAAATCACAAATATACAAATAAGTCATTTGAGAATATCTCGTTTATGGAACTGGATGCCTGCGGAAGAGTATGAAGAGGTTAATTAAATTTTAAGAAATTCTTTCTTCAATAGTCTAGAATCATCTTTCAGATAATCAGTTAGACTCATCAATTTCATTTCAGCATGCAATCGGCTCGGAATACAAAAACATGGCTCGTATATCATTTTGTCAATTAAATTGGCCTAGAAAGAAAAACTTATATTTAAATCCGATCAAAGTTGTGCATGAAAAGAGATAGTTGATTATTCTTTTAAAATTTTTTTACCAGACGGGGTGTGGGTTTGGATGTGAAGTATTGTCTTCTGACTTGCCCACACCCACACTCAAGAAAACTGCTGAGTATCATGAAGAAATGTGTCTTCACTTTTTGATCTATTATTCTCGAATGAAAAGCAATGGCATGTTCTTGTCTATAAATGCTAATTCACAATGGGAAATACTTTTGAACGACTCTACGTAAGTTGAATCAGATTGCCACACCTATTATTATTTGTCGATATTCTGACAGGTCTCTTACTGATTTTTATAAACTGAAACAATGATTTCTTAGTCTCCGATGAACCTCCGAATCACTATTTCGATGGCACGAATTCTTTAGCAAAGCTTCGCAAATCATGACTTTGAGTACGAAGAAGCAGTTTTATTAGATTTTTCTAAGCATAACAACATATGAAGATGTGAAAAACAAACAATGTAGAGGGCAAATAAAAGAGTTACTAGTCCCATTCCAATGGTTCCAGCGTGTAATTGGATCACACTTCAAAAGAAAATGTTTTGTTCGATACAAAACCACTATTTTACGATCTGAAGTTATCGTGACTAGACATATTAGCAGGAACATAGAAGAAAGCAGACACCAAAGGTAATAATGGTCATACTGAAATTGAAGAAAAACTTTCAATAACAGTTTTCTCAAAACTGTAGGATTTGTTTGAAAATATTGGACAAGTTTATTTAATATTATTTTATTATGTAAGAAACATGGAATACAACTATCGATTTCAAAATATTCTCCTCAAGTTTGACTCGAACATCTTCACTTCGAAAGATGGATTCATAATGATATAAGAAATAATATCAACTTAAAATATTATAGAAACCGTTGTAATATTACTGTTTCCCATTCGATGAAAATGTATTCGCCCGAAAATACTTCAGTAGAGAAAAAACAATGATATAATCTTGTGTTCTGAAAACACAATCGTTCTCCGCCTCAATGTAGCAGAAGAATGAACGAATAAGTAACTTTTCTCATCATATGAGAAGTAAAATAACATAGAATTTCAGGGTAAAACACGAAGCTAACGAGAGTTGATATGCTTTAGGATACCGAACTTCTCTCATTGGATGAATTTTTAAGTACTGCATTGAATGAACATGATAAACGATATAAAAGTCTTTCGAAAAATGTCACACGCTGTTAAACCATATTGTCAACATCTAAACCAATGAGCTTTCTTCGTTAGAAAGAGTAATGTCTAAACTACAAATTCTGTGGGTGTGGGTGCGATAGTTATGGATGTGGGTGTAGGTGTCATTTACTCACTGACCCACACCCACACTCTTATTCTCAATGAGCGTTATTTGTTACTTTATCTTTTATTTAATTTGAACTAAAATTAATTATCATAGAATATTCTTTCTACTCTCTATAGTTGATGATAAATTCTTCGAAAAATCTTAATAATAATAATGTATGCAAATATTTTTCTCTGTTGACATGTGATTATAGCCTTAAATGAATAAAAAATCTTTGATTGTTAACCACGTATCAGCAGATGATGATTATTTACCAGTTTATTAAGTGAATGTAGCAATGCATTAGATCACGTTGTTAAATTTCCTTCTGAATATCTTATGCGAGTGATTTCATGACTAAGAATAACAAAAGCAGAATTGGAAAAATTTTTCACGCATACTTTGAATACGCATCGCCTGTTACAACTACTTAATGGATTCTTTTTGCCGCTCAATACAATACCGATAACATCCATTAACAATCCAGAAGAAAACATGACAAACATTAAAAGCAATCAGTCCACTTACTTAGTTAAACAGTGAATAAAAGAAAATATATTCAGATCAGTTTTTGTGTTTGTTGTGTCGTATTTTTTCGATAATATGCATTCAGGTTCAGTGAGTTTTTGACTTTCGGTGAACAATGACACCACTCCTTCTTATATTCGATATCATAACTATAATATTCAAAACGTAAGCTAATAACTAAATAAGAGTATGACAGCGATCTAAAAGCTACACGCAATGGAAATGACAACTAATTGAATTCCTTAGAATAACAAAATTCTATTTGTTTGAATTATAGACAAGATTGTTACACGACAAAGTTTTTGATGTCTCGAATTTCTATGTGAAGTTTGTTGTCCAAAAAATTGTTTGATTCTCTTCTTTGAAGATAAAACTCGATCAATCTGTTCCTTGATAACACAAAAAAACAGTTCAATTTTGTTAGAAACGGTAATCTTAACTACTTCAAAATCGCTAGCATAGACAAAAAGTTGGTTCTGTGGAACGAAAGAAATGGGATTATATAGAAACCAGGAATGTTCTACGGACATCTATTAAATACTCAATTTTATTGTTCTTTATTAAACTCATCTTTTATTATTTTTTTCTCTAAAAGAGTCAAATGATAAATCATCCATCAATGGCTCAACATATGCAGGTTAAATTTATTTTCTAATTATTATCATAGAGCGCAAGATTTAACACGTCGTTCTATCCATGCTGATGTTAAGCAGCTGCATCAAGATAAAAATGCTCAGTTCATAGGCTATTATACATTTTAATGTGTAAAACTTTTCATTTCATGTAGAGGACTTTGCCCAATTAAATGTCTTCTTGTAGAAGCCAAAGGTATACCTTTTATCATTATACAGACAGTGATAACAACAACTACAACCAATTACTTCTCTCTTCTGATTATTCGAGATCTCCATCAGGAATATGCGTTATAATCTTAAAATCGATTTCAACAATTTTGGTTCATTATATACTAGTTGCTCAGCACATGTATGTAGTAGTGCACCTGTTGTACAACTTGTTGGTGCTATTGCTATACCAGGATGGAGTAGTCAATATTCAGTAGATGATGCATATGTTACACTTAGTCTATCAATGAGCTTAACAATGTATGATTATTCAACATCAACTACATCTGTTATAAGTAGTAGCTTTGGAGGATCAACAGCATTTAGTTATTGGGATGATCTTATGATTTATTCTGGTACATCTCAAAGTGTCTATTATAGTGTTGCTGGAACAACACCTAATCGATCAGCAACATTGGAATATTATACAAGTCATTATGGTTAATCAACTCAATATTATTATTTTCAAGTATCTGATGTAGGTTCATCAGCTACAATTGGTGTACAGAATAAAGGAGATTTTTCCGTTATTTTTTGTGTTATTGTCAATAATAAAATTATGTTTGAATTTCAGGTTCGTCTAGTGGATCTGCTATGACGTATTCAGTGACAAGTAATATGTTATTAACTTTTGTTACCAATATGGATACATTTTTCAGGATAGATGACAATCAAAAGATTGACGTAATTTCTAATACTTTTTTTTTGCATTCTCTTTGTATTTTTGTACTTGACTCATTCATTTTGTCAATGACTCCCTTCTGTTTCACTTTTCCACTCTTACATTTTTCTCATATGAATAAAAACTAATAAATAAAAGCGAATCATTATTACAATAAAATGTAGATCTTGTAAAACTTGCAAAATACTTGCATAGTAAAGCTTTCTGGTTCTTGTCAGTTGCAAGATGCATAAGTCTACATGGGGAAAAAGAAGCAAAAAGTTACTTTTTGCTATGTCGCACTGTTATAGTTGACCTATTGAAAATTATTGATTTATATTGATTGAAGTGAGACTTTTACTCGTTTTCTTATTGTTCAGAGTGACAATAATTTTCACCTTCCTTCTGATAAAAAAATATATCAATGTAGTCGAGTCTACGTGAAAAAAAATGTTAATATAGCTCTAGCGGAAACAAAATGCGATGTTTACTCAATTTTTCAAAAATGCTATAAATAAGTAGTGTGTTATGTGACCTGTGATCCTGTATCAACAACTTCTATCTCAACCAGTGATGCTTCAATAGTTATATTTGCAATGATCCATTTATTTTGTCCGTGAAGAAAAAGGACACAAATTTTCACTCTATATACTTGAGCACTACTTTTAGATTGTGTTCCACAGAAAATACCATATATATATCGAGTATAGAAAGATCTATGAATTTAACGTATTGTCAAATATTTTAAGAGAACTAGATAGAGCCATTTGCATTAATGCCGGAAAACTCATTAAAAAATTGATATTATTTTCTTTTGAATAGTTTAGTAGAATTACAATGATGATTCATATTAAATAATGTCTACATGCAAAAGAAAGATAAATATATCCTTTTATCTTCTCATATTTATTTATAACATAGATAACAAAACAAAACATTGTATTATTAATAATTCATATTATGACTTCACACTGTTTTTTGGATCGATTTCCTGTAGAAATATTACATATTCTATTTGATTATATACCTCTTGCTGAACTTTATTATAATTTGTATAATGTAAGTGATTATATCAATGCTGTTCTACTCTGTTATCCAATTAGTTTAATTAATTTAACATCATTTCTTCAATATCATATTAATTTTATTTGTTATCATATAAAACCTGATCAAATTATTTCACTTACACTTTTGGATAATATTGATAATAATGGTCAATCAGAACTTTTCTTTTCTCATTTTCATATCGAACAATTTATTCAACTTCAATCCTTAACTTTAATCAATACTGAAAATAATTTACTACATTGTATACTTCCAAATTTAAATAAACTTAATCATTTACGTTCATTTTCATTTGATATTACAGAATATTATCGAATGATTAATAAAGATTATAGATTACGATTTACACAAGTAAAATCAATTCTATTGAATAGTTGTATAAATCTTTTATCACAATTAAATCAATTAACTTTATATAATATTCAAGAAATGACATTAAAACCATTGTCTTGCCTTCGTCATTTGAAAATTTCTGAATGTTCAACAACAGAATTACAAAGAATCTGTTTAGAAATACCACAATTGAAATCATTTGAGGCTTGTTTACATGATGATCCAATATACATTGAAGATCTTTCTTCTTTATCAAAATTGTCTCGATTAATTTTAAAAATTGATGGTAAAAAAGAAATTTTGTTCTCTTTTTATTGATATAAACTAAATTATTTTCTAGTATTTAAAAATAAATTTCTTTCAATGAATTTCATGGAACAATTTCTACCAAAATTATTTCAATTAAAACATTTTGAATTTCAAGTTGACAATGGTGATGATTTTGATAATGGACAACGATGGGAAAAATTAACAAAATCTCTTATTACATTTAATTTTAAATTTAAAATAAGATATTTATTTGAAAGTTTGAATTCATTTCGTACATCATTTTGGCTTGAAGAAAAACATTGGTTTGTGGTTTATAATAATGAAGATTTATATACGATACCTCGTTTTGCTCCAATAGAATTTTATATTAATAATGTATCATTTATTATGTCAAACTTATCAAATCATAGTATTTTTTGTGAACGTATAACTAAATTAATTGTATCAACAGAGATCTTTAATGAAAATTTCTATTTTCCTAATGTAAAAATTTTAAAAATGAATTGTTTAATTTCAATTGAAAGACTTTCAAATATAATTAATCTAAATAAAATAAAACATTTGATTTTATCATCACAATATAGTATATCAATGTTTTTATTCATACTACCTGTAATGCCTTTTCTTGATGAATTAACAATTACTGGATATTTAGTTCCAGTATTAATTAAAGAATTACAAAATAATATTATCAAACAAATACGAAGTCTTAATTTACGTTTTTGTTATTTTGAAAAAGAATCTATCACGAAAATCTTATGTCATCTTTTTCCATGTATTGAATATTTAAATATATCACTTATTAATTCAACAAAAGATATTATATTTTTTATTCAACAATTCAAATATTTATTAAATGCATCATTTGGTGTGAATTCATTGCTTGAAAGAGATAAAAATAAAAATAATCAAAAGTTACAAATGGCTATTGATAAAAAATATACATGTCAAATTGTTCATTCATCAAATCAAAATCCATTATCATTTGTTCATATATGGAATAATGAACATGTAAGTTTTATTTGTATATAATAAGACTATTGTTTTTTGTTATACTTATATATTACTTTTTTTTTTTTAGCAATCTTTATCTTCGTTCCTCGTACCAATATTATGATCTTTTAAATAAGAATATAAAAGTTTTGCTAGTAAGTTGATTTTATCGATTAAACTGGAATCACACTGATTTACTTTTAATTGTACGAGAACATATGAAGATTTATATAATTTTACTTTTTAAATAAATATGACACAAAATGAAATCAATTAAACAGTATTGATCTAAGTTATGTTAAGCCTTGATGTTACTTTGAAATAAATTTCATTAAAATGACGTTTTGAATGTGTAGGACTTATATAATAACATATATCATAATAATCAAGATTTTATTAATGAAAAATGACATATTCTTATCACTATCTAATTGTGATATAATATGAATGTTCTGAAGTCCAAGCTGGATTGAACATTTGTATTATCAATTGTCTCAGCACAACAATCTTGTGACCGATATTGAGCCGCCTCTGTTATTTAGCTAAGAAAAGTTTGATATAAACATACAAATAAGATCTAAGTTTTCAAACTAAAAGAATAAGATTGATAAGCTTAAGCCGAAAATTGTAATAGTAAATTTTGTTTGCAAAGAAACTAAAGAACGTGTTATAAACAATACAAGCTAAATTAGAAAATACAAACGATTGTAACATAATTACTTTATATCAACTATTGATTATACAATTATCATCTATAGATATAATATACGAATGCAAAAATATTCAATGGACCATTTGAGAAAATTCAGTGAAAAATATTGACTAAGATAGATCGACTTAGTATTTTATCATCTCAACAATTCTGAATTCGTTAGATATTGTGCGTATCGAGTTACTATGCTTTGATACATAAATTATATGCATCATCTTTTCGAGTATGATTTGAATTGATAAACGTTATCTAACTACGACATTTTTTTTCTTTTTTTGCTTTTACTATATGGAAGCACGTTTTGTTCACTAGAAGTAACGCCCATAACCTGGTCGTATGATTGGGATTTTTTCTTACTCTCTTTTTCTTATTTCATTCAGACATGTGTACTTTGACAAGGTCAAAATCTAAAATAAATGTGATAAAGATCAAATTATATGAAAGTAATAAAACTGTTCTTTAATAAAATGATATGATAAGTTTTTTTTCTCAATGTCGTTCGTCAACAATTCGATTGTTTAAACTTCTTTGACATTAACTTCTGATTTCGAAAATATATTTTGTAGCCATACCTCGTGTTTGTTTATTTGATTTGGTACATGAAATATTCTTGAGTTTTTCTGATGTAAGTGATTATGTCAATTCTGCTCTACTTTTCTATTTTGCATATGAATTGGATTTAAAATCAATGGAAAAATCTCAATTGAATTCTATTTATTATCGTATTTGACCAGAACAAATTATTCTGTTAACACTCATGACAACGATGGATTTCATCTATCTGTATATTTCTTGTCTATTTTTCGACTTGAACAATTCATTCGACTACAATCAATTACATTAATTCATATTAAATAGGAATTGATAGAACCAATTTTTAGTGATTTACATAAACTCTCCCAATTACATTCGCTCTCATTTGATATTGAAAAGATTGAATTTGTTTTTGTCTGATGTATTCGTTCAAATACTACCTTGTCTTCATCGTTTTAAACTCAAAAAGTATTCACTTATTCAATTTGAAGTGATTTTTCAACATGCACCACAACTCAAATCACTTGATGTTTGTCTACGACTTGAAAAATGAATTTTTTTCAGATCATCTTATCGTCATCTCAATTAATTCGATTCAGTCTGACAATTGAGAATCAGTTTTATCAGATTCTACTTAAACCAACTTTTGATGATGATGATAATTATGAATTTTTTAAATTCAATAACAAAAATAGTTTTAAAAAATGTTCTGTTTTTATTCTTTTTAAATATAGGTTAACATCTTCAGGTTCGATTAAGTTTCGGGTTCGAACATTGTTGACTGGTTTTAGTATGTCTATTCTTTTAAGTAATTTGAATTCCAGCATATAGAAATGTAATTCCTATAGACTATTTGCATGTATAATACATTAAATAGATTATTCTGTATCAGTGAACCAATTGGAACAATTGCTACTAAATTTACCTTATCTCAAACATTTTGAAGTGACTGCCAATGGTAGGATTTTGCTGATAGGCAACGATGAAAAAACTTAATTAGAAACTTCATTACATTCAATTTTAAATTCAATACAGATCTTGATCTAAATGAAATAGCTCTTCATTCATTTCGTACATCGTATTGGCTTGAAAAAAAACGCTGATTCGGTATACGCATGTTGAAATATTGAATCTTCAATGTTCAATTTTACAAGAAGAACTTATGTTTATTTTTTGATCTAAGACAAGTGAATCATTTATTTATATTATCATTAATTGATCTACTAAAATTTATGTCATTCGAACAATTATGAATGATCTGACCGTAAATATGATTAAACAAATGTGATACTATCGATTTGAACAGATTCGTGAACTTGATATAAGTCTGAGTTATGAAAACAAAACTGATATCATAAAAAAAATAGTTTATATTTTTCCATTTATTGAACGCCTTTCCTATAGAAATTACATTCATTTAATACAAGATATATATCATTTTATTTTATGTATGGATTTGAATATTTATGAAGTGCATACTTTTAAACTTATTTGCTATTTTCTAATATTGAACGAAATATTCATCTCAATTCGGAATTTCCTATTAATATTTCTTGGCAATTTCTCGAATATCATGAATTTTTATATCATGCTATTTCGTTATTCAATTCCAGATCCATTAGTCGATCAATTAAAGTTTCCATGAGACTGACTTTTACAAAAGAGATACTGTTCTTTCGTCATCTTTTCATAATTTTTAGATGCTACAATCATCGGGAAATACTCGTTGGTTACAACAATTAGAACATATTTGGCATCATTCGATATATATTTCATTAGTAATGATTGCTGTTGCTTTCTACTTTAATATGTACATTATTCTTTTCAATGCATGTTCGAAGTGCCTGTATTGAATATTTATTTTAATTGTTTGAACTTTGGTTTTTATTCATCGTCTTTTTAAAAAGATAATAAACTTTTACACAATCAAGCCTTTTGAAATAAATCAATAAAATATGTTTTATTTTGAATGCTATTCGTACCAATTTAATAAAACTTTCAGTTTATAAATTGTGAACTTCATTGAAAAATATAGTACAGAAAGTGTAGAACTTCTTACCTTAAAAATTATAGTCATGACAAAATAATTGTTCTAGTAATAACTGTATATCAAGGTCAAAAAACCAGACGTAAAATCTCGCAGACCGAACGAAATCTTATGAAAATCATACAGAAAAATACTATCTCAGAAATATTATATTATATGTCAATTCATCATAAAAACTTTATAAAAATAAATCTTCTCTTGAATTGTCTTCTTCACATATAGTACAATGAGGAATAGTAGAGATAGTCGATCGAGCACTCCCTCTACAGTCGATTTTGGTTGACGTGCAATGAATTATAATACCCATTCTCATCCTTATAGTTTCTAGCTCCAATGATGAATACAATACGTGAAAAAAGAAGCACGTGGACAGTACAAGGTAAAGATAAGAAAGCAAAAAAAAAACATTATCATTTCATCTACGTCACATATTCTTCTTTTTGCTCTTTTTGGCTGACTTCTTGCATTCAACTTTTTGAAATCATGGTCGATAATGTCGAATACACTTATGAAATCATCGACAACGAATCTGATGCTCGATTGTGTGCACAATTACTAGCGGAAGCATTTGCTCTGCACAATCCTATGGCCGTCTTTCATCAAATGTCAGCACAACAATACTATGATGAGTTCATGTGGCCAATATTGAAAGAAGTTTTCGATGAACGATTATCCTTTCTTGCTCGATATCGTCAGTCGGGAGAGATTGTCGGTGCTATTGTTGCTGGTGATATGTATTTGCATAATCAAAAACATCCATATGATTCAAATAGCGGTCCGCAACGTGTTCCTCTCAGTGATTTAATGCAAGAAATGCAAGACCTGTTTATATGTCGTGATTTTGGTCAAGAATTGAAGCCCCAAATGGTTTTACATATTTCAGTTGGTGGCACTCAAGCATCCCGTTCGAACAAAGGTGTTGCAAGTGGATTACGAAAAGCTATGTGTGCTCATGCGCGAGACAAACGAGGATTTCAATATGCATTTGTGCAAGTGAATAATGAAGCAACACGACATATATACTTAAATAAATTGGGAGGAAAAGAAGTAACAAAAATCGATCCATCTATTTGGTTGTGGAAAAAGAAGGGTGATGGATTATCATGTCCGTATAGAGACTACAAGGGTGGACCAATACCAAATATTCTTGTGGATCTAATTCATAATGAAAATATATGATCATATGTCAACATTTGACCTTTATAAACCAATTCTGATAAAAGACAAAGAGAAATTCCTGTATTGTAAAATGCCATGATCGTTTTCAACAAACAAACATCTCACAAGATGTTTGTGTACGTTAGATAAGAATACGTCATGGTCTATTTGAAAAAATATCCCGAATATCAGCGACCCATTACAACAAGAAAAAAAGAGGTCCGTTGTATTTCTTTGGTCCCAAGAGGGTGAATTCTCGAACGCACTTGATGACACTAGCTTATGCTTAAAATAGATAAGATGCAGATACTTTATGTGATGCAACTCAGGAAAATAGTGTGATATGATGCGACTGCTTCATCTTGAAAAGAATAGCGCGAGCGCTGCACAAAATAAACGATAGGCTGGTGATAAACGACTTTTGACACACGCATTGCATCTAATGCTTGAAATAAAACTAGTCAAATCTAGGTCAAAGTATGGACCTTAGGGCGGCGCACTCCAGACTAATTGAGGATAATATTTATTTTAATCAGTTTTGTAATGTTGTCGTTCTACTTTTCCATCTTTGTCGTTACCACGTACACAAGCGAATGAGTCAGTACCATAACGTCTCTTCGATATGATGAGGTAAGAAACTGATTTTCTAATTAGGACTCTACAGCGTCGGTTAGTTGACAGTGAAGAGTTTGATATGAAAGTTGTAGATAAGCAAACAGTCAACTTCGACATTATTCATGAAAATGATTGAAGATATATAACAATGCAGAAAAAGAAAGAGACGCATCTTTTGATCACTACTGTTCTGGTCTGCAAAAGATTGAAATAATATGGAATATGTAGTCGTTTTAAGATTACAGTTGAGATCAGGATAGCTCAAGTGATAAAGCAGTCGTTCATTGAAAGATGTGAGTTTGGTGTCCATACTGACGAAAATGTTTCGCTTCGATTCATCTTTTGTACCAGTCGAGACATACCCACTATCACTATTCATCTCAATCATGTACATAAACTTTTTTATGAAAAATTGAAATAATAATCAGTGGCCTCTGGCGCTTACTGCTTAAAGTTACATTTTCAGCATCTAATTTTACCATCAGGAATTTGGGGTGTGGATGTGGGTGGGTATGACAAGTAGATCTTTCGTACTTATAGCGACACTCAGATCCAGACCCACACCCTCAGGATCAAAGGAAATCTATTGCTTTCTTTAATGTCACTAAGAGAGGATCCACTTGAGTGGACAATCATTAAAATGATTAGCAATCCATTCATTTCTTTGTCTTCAGTTGTATCAACGTCTAAGTCAATTTTCGCGCGATATTTATTTTAATATAGTGTATATTAGTTTCTATAAATACCATTTAACTCCCCTTATAGATATAGAAAGTAATGCGATAGTTATTTAAATGTTATTAATTCATACACTAGTCGGTATTGTATCGCTGATTACCGTCTACATTATTATCACTTTATCTCGAATTTCTCTATTTTCTTTTTTATATTTTTTTAGATATCTAACTTTCAAGTACAATACGTTGGTCGACGTCATTTTTTTTTCTAGATGTATGATAAAGTCTGTTCAAACGGTTTTATCTTGTAAATAACAGCTACGATTGAAGATCAATCAATACAAATGATATGATAGACACGGCAAAATATGTCCACCTACAAGGAACAAATGAATCGTTCTAATAATTATGCCAATTGAAATACTCTCAAACACATGAAAGTCTTTTCTCGGATGCGTACGTTTTTTGGAATAGTTGTTGGGGATTTTTTTGTCTTTTTTTATCAGTTCTGTTTATATATATGGACTCTCTATTATTTCTTCTTTAATTTGTAACTATTATAGTATTCTTTACTAAATTCAATTGCAATTGGTGCTATGAGCATGTCATATCTATACTTCGTGAAGTTTATTTATTAGTTGTAACTGTGATCTCTTCGTCATCTGTTTTGACATGTGTTCATTACATTAATTGTAATGTTTTGTTTTTCATTGAGTTTTTTTCTATGTCATGAATGAAATTTGTTAAAATCTTGTAGATATTATAGTATTATCCGATTGTTGTGTTTTTTTCACTTTAATTTCTTACGTGAGGTAAACGATTGATATTTTTTTAAAATAAAGAAGAATTGAAAAAAAGATCCAGTCAATTCGAACAAAATAAAATCGCTGATAAATCGTAATTTATTAGATTAGATCATCGATTACACCATGGCTAACGTTTAGAATTATTGGTGAATTAATCACGATTTGTCATAATAATCATTAAAAATATGGCAGAAAAACGGCGATTAATCGTCAGTTTTTTAATGATTTCGAGAACATGGGAAGCCTCAGCACAGTTTCCTAGAGTTTCTATGAAGTTATCGACATATTTTGAAAGACTTAAGGAGATTTCTGTGAAATTCAGAAGGATTTCAAGTATCTCACAAAAATTGAAGGAGTCTTATTGAAAGTCCAGATGTTTTTGACATAGCTTAGCGAAATTCTTACAGATGTTTGTTTTGTGCAAAAGAAATGTTCTTCCTTCTCAGTTTGTCATAGGAACAAGCTGTACAAAGTTTATTTTCAAGATCAAATCGCCCTCACACATACTTGCACTTTCTCTCCATTGTTCAGCGTATCGCCAACTCCATCGCCTCTTCCTATTCATCTCTCGTTGTCACCTATCTATCTTTCGAGGTTCATTCTTTTCTTCGGTCATCGTCTTTCTTCTCTAATTTATAATTGATGTTGACGAAAGTATTAACATTTATTTAAATAGCGTTTTCTTCTCGCGTTCGCGTTCGTTGTCATTTGTTCACGAAACATAAAGGTAGATAGATACATAGAGATAGGCAGAGAAACAAGAGGTGTGCGTTTATTACTCTGACTACGCACACGTACTCACGATTGTTTACTTCGCCATTCTTTTTTTTATCAATCTAGTGTACAACACTCCATATTGATGAACATCATCCAAGAAGGAAGTCTGTTTCATTTTTTAACAACAGGTTCGTGCTTGTATATGCGTGATTGATATTAACATTTGCTGATAGTTTTTGTGTAGTTGTCATAATTCAGGTGGCGACCAGCAAAACTTTCAAATGTACAGAAGATGGTTTCTTTCCGGATGAACATGACTGTTGGGTCTATCATATATGTGTGGGCTCGACCCATTCCATAAAGGCTTGTAAAGGAAATCTTTTATATAATCCGATCAAGAAAGAATGCGACTCGGCAATGAATGCAAGAAACATAGACCAGTATTTGTATTATTAATATTACTGTGCCTCTTTTTCTAGGTGCAATGTAATACTCTTCCCGGAATACCTTCACTCCAATTTCGAAATCCAAATGGTAGGTATACTAGCAAAACAGAAATGTTCAATTTTCTTTTTTATGTTCTTGTTTAGATTTCAAATATCCAACTGGTGTCGATAGTAGCTCAGAATTGAAATTTCTATCGCCTTTATTGCCTTATCCATCCATATCATCCGATCTGTTCTTTGGATATTTATGCCAGTGGATCGAAAACGACTATGTTGCTGATCCAACCGATTGTAAACGCTATGCTTATTGTTCAAACGGTGAGTAAAACATAAGATCTTATGACCACAAGCAAGATATCAACCGAATACATCTCGCTTGACTCAATTCTGAGTGAGTCTTCACGTTTCTCCAATCGAATGACACATTCCACTTTCTCACGCTCCAAAAACTTAAGTTAAGCTTTCTTGGAAAAGCTCGAACTCTACAATTAGCATTATGTCGTGAAGAAAATTCAACTCGAATTTTGCTTAAAGCCGTCCATAAATTCAAATTCCTCACCTACAATGACCTTTACTCAAATGTTAATAAAGATCGGCAAAGCTTAGGATGTGAGTGTGAACGAAAGTCTTCTCTTTACCCACACGCTGAAAATTATTTTCCTCGTCAGTTTTTCAAGCTACTGGTTTCACAAGAAGTCTAATTTTGATTTTCGGTCAGAATACCAATAAAACTTCTTTTTTCGAACAATGTAATAATAGTCGACACATCTCTCTGTCTGCTCGTCTAAGCCAATTCATAATTAGTCGGTTTATCTATTCGGACTTGTCCTCTATAGAATACTATTCCAATTATTATTTTTAGGTGTATCACAACCAAAGTTGTGCAAGAAGAATCTCTATTGGTCTCAACGTGAAAGAATGTGTGTTCGGCCATCGCAATTCAAGTGGAAGTCATACATGCCATGTCGTCGAAGAAACTCTATTCGATCTTTTTCTGTCTCGTTGATAGGTGCAGTGAAGAATTGAACACACAACGAGACTTGTTTCTTCATTGGATTGTTTTTAACAAAGACGAACAGTTTAGTTTGTTGAGGCAATGAATCAAAAACCTAATTGAGATTCAAAATGTCTCATTCTACACATGTTCTGATGTTCATTTGGAAAAAAGATGAATAATTTTAATGGTCTCACCTAGCTTCAAGTACCAACGAAATCAATAAGACAAAATATCAAATTCCGCTGGAGACCAAAGACAGCTGATGGGTTGAAGCGAGAGACAGGATCCTCGTCTCCTGAATGTCAGATTTATCGTCTCACACAGATTTCCATTGATCAAGACAGATGATGTTGTTTGTCTGCCGATGAGAAAAAAATCTTTATCATCTCTTTAACTGTTTACAAAAAAAATCTTTCTCGGTGTGTGGGTGTGGGTATTGAGTATCATGTTTCCATTATTTCCACACCTACACCCACATACAACGTTTGTAAAATTTGTATTTGCTTTCTGAACAAGGAGTGAATAGGTTTGCCTCCTCTTTTTCATGAACTTTGGTAATGAATTAGAACTTTCTCAATAAACAACTAAGTTGTATATCTTCCTAATAGATAGCTGGGCAGAACTCTAGTACATTCTTTACTGTTTCATTTCAAGAACTTAAGTACTAATTTTTAGAAATTATGTTGTGAAAAAGAATTATAAATGTGTAGTTTTTTTATATTATGGGACTGAAAGGGTAAACAATACTCATTGAGCTAGAGGC